ATTTTATCTTTTTAGGTAATGATTGGAAACAAATGCTTTTTCAATAATATCTGATTCACTCAAGTCCCATAATTAATAAAAGTAAGAAAAATGGCCTTTTAATAAGTGTGAGAGCAGGGGAATATTTAAACTAAAAAATATTAGTGCTGTAACAAAAAATGAAATATACTTGCCCCATCTGTGCTGACCTTCATTGGCAAAAAATATCTACACTATGCAAGCCAAAGAATGCTGCAGGATTATTCTTGATCACATAGAAACCAAACCAAACAAACCACTAACAATCCCAGATCCCCCATCTCTTGTCTCTCGAGAGGCCTTGTCTCACATGTCTCTCAGCAGCAGATCATGTGCTTTCTAAGGGCAAATAGACATTGTTGGCTTTGTTGTCAAAATAAACTTACAATCCAAATCAACAGTTAAGATCACAATGTGTTATGTAATCACAAAAAACAGAGCATGAAGACAAAGGTTTACAACGATGTGGATTTAGAATACTTAATAGTTCATTTTTCAACACTCACTGAATGTTAAGTTGGAATCTTTTAGCAAAGATTAAAAAGTGAACTTATCTTGCTGATGTTATACATATTTAAAAAAATAATCTGTCAATGGTATGTAGAGTTCAAAATGTAAATGTCCACAATCAAAAGCTGTGTGTTTTCAAATAAGCCACAAGGTTTTTCCTCATAAATTTGTGTTTATAAATGAATCAATATATTTAGCAGTGTACAGTTTTAAATACTAAATTCACAGCATGACCATCTGCTATTACATATTAGATTAAAATAAAAAAAAGTTTATTTATACAACATGTTTAAAAAGAAGAAAGTTTACCAAGGTTTGGTTTAAAACTATATATTTATTTTAAAAAGGAACTGAGTCGATGACCTGTGAGAGCAGTTTATACATATTTTTCCGTTTAAAGGAATGTGATTAAGAGATAAATAATTTCTATATTCAGCACAAACCAAGGGGAAAAATGATACAAGAAATATGTTTGATATACCTACAGCGAGATATTTGGCAGTATAATAATATATAGTTGTATAATAATAATATAACTGCTTGGCAGGGTCTCCGATATATATATACATCTATATATAGATATATATAGTATATATATAGTATATATCTCAGAGATATATTGATATCTCAATACTTATGCTGCTCTAGGCTTAAGCTGCGTTCACACTGAAGGCAATGAGTAATATATTTGCGAATGTTTCATTATATAATGGATTCCGGTCTTTTTTCTATGAGCATAAAATGCGACTATGCACCTATAATTCTAAAGCAGTAAATTGTAAGATGAGAGGCATTTTGTTATTGTTTTTAATCAAAAAGTTAAGGAACAACTATTTAATGACTGAAAATTATTGTACCTTGACTTTTTGTGCCATTCAGAACAGCAAAGCTGAGGAAAAGCAGGAACACATTACCTAATACTGTGATTGGTCAATTTTCTGCTCTAACAATAGTTTTTTGTAAAAAAAAAAAAAAAACAAAAAAAAAATTTTAGGTTCACAAGGTAAACATGGTTATACATCATTGTAGCCAATGTTAATGGATGACATCGAGCATTTTACACAAAAGGAGAAAAAAAAATGGTCTGTCTCCTTTCAAACTTTAAGAATACAAAATCATTGTAAACAGGAAGCATAACTTAAAAAAGTCTTATGTAACCAGGATAATTTTTCTATATTAGATCCAGTTTATTTTATTTTCCATTTTTAGATTTAATTCTATTTATTTTTATTTAAAGGTTTAATTAAAATCCTCCTTTCCTTAATTTATTCAACACTAATCTAGTGAGAACAATACTGTTCTCGCACGGTTTTGACATCATGTGCCAGCTGCACGTCATTGTCCTAATTGACAGCTATGGCTTATATGGCTGCTAACCGCGCCTTAGGTAGGAAACGCTGTCGGACCCTGATGTGCAGGTAGGTTTCTGGTCTCTTCCCAAGTGGTTATATCTATTGTAAATCAACTCACCAATTTTGCACCATCAAACTGTCTCTGTGTTTTACAATTTGCCACTTCCTCCAGCAGATGAACCTAGTCTTTAAGAAATCACGTGGGTTGACTTTAATTTGGGTTATTTCTAATCCTAGAATGCAACTTGGGTTACACTTAGGCTTTATGCTTTAGGAGATTGTGAAATGTCATCTGGTGCTTACCACATATCGGTCTCATTTACATACTACCCTAGGAAAATTCGGTCAGATATGTTATTTTGCATAGGAACATCATCTCCATAAAACTTGAAGTTTCTATAGCTTCGTGCTCTAGAAAGTGGAGAAGGACATTGCCGCACTGTCAGGAAGGAGGACAAGACTTTACATTTTGCTGAATAAAACAATGGCAGACGTTTATACAGCCACAAAATCTAAAGTTATTCCTTTATAATTCATTATCATAATCAGACGAATCTTTAGAAAACCTTCACCCTGAGGTTAAACCAATTTAGACTTCAACTGTCTCTGTAAGGGGCTCTATCCAAAATGGTCTAATTGGTAATTTTTAACTAAAGTAGATGTGTGTCAGCATTTGCCATAAGTACTGCCCAAATAATGCTGGCATAAAGGAACAAGGTAAGAAAAAAGTGTCTGGATGCTTCCAATCATAGTTCTGTGTGATAACGCGCTGTCAGGAAAGCCACAGTCCAATGCATGATAAAACGTACATCAGAAATGTAAAACTCAAGTCCTTGATGGCCAGTATCCTGAAAATGTACTATGTCCCTGGACCAACATACTTAAATCCAGAATTACCTCCTCACCATGCAGCAAAGTTATTAAGAATTCTTCATTCTTGAATTAATCAGCGTCAGTATCGGCTTGTTTCTGGTATAAAAGTGTTAAATGGTCTTGGAATCCTACTGCCTAACTGTCAGTTTTGGATTCAAGAACCATAATACATTGGGGCCTAGACAATGCCACTTCATAAAGATTTAGGACTTAAAACTTTTGGTATTATAGAGGTCAAACTAACTATTCGAACCAATATGTAGCTGTTCTGATCAAATCACAAGAGTTTGTCCAACTAAAAAATGGACAATCAGTCAATCCACCAGCTATCTAATAGGGGAATGGGGGCCTAGTGATTAGGGCATTGTGCTTGGATCCCAGAGGTTCTGAGTTCAAGCACCACTCCCATGGACTGCCACTGGGGTCCCTGAGCAAAGACCCTTAACCCCCAACACTGCTCCCCATACGCCTCAAAATGGCAGCCCACCACTCCCCAAAGGGATGGGTTAAATGCAGAGAGTTAATTTCGTTGCTTTGTACTTGCGACAATGTAATGATAAAGTTGAATTCTATTCTATCTTACGGATTGCAAAGGTAATATGTTTGTGAAGGGGTCCAAAACATCCTTCTTCCCAGCGAGACATTCCTGCTTTTCAAGGGGCGTCCTAAGCTTTTACCTAAGAGAACTGAAAGAGAATGGAGAAGCATTAACTCACCTTGTTCACTCTGTAACTCATCTTTATAAATGAGTCTGGCTATCCTATGAAGAATAAAACAAATCCAAGAGCCATAGGGGGTCATTCATCCATATTTCAAAAGCAACATTTGCCTTAGTGGTGCTGCAATAGAATCACATCACCTGCAAAAACAAAGTTGAAAACCTGAGTTTTTTGTCAGATCAGTAAATTAATTTAGAACGTGGTTCATCACATTTGCTCTTTTTTCAAGTTACTTTAGTTTAAGATGGTTGTGGCTACCATGCAGAAGGTTAAGGTATGAAGAGGATTTAGGACTCATGACGTTATTTTCTTTTGCAGTTCAGTTTTAACCGTCGTTTAGATTCGTGTTCATAAGTTGGGGGCCTATAAAACATCTAATTAATGTGTTTAAAGGTAAAATTATATTTTAACAACAGCTACAAAACCTAAAACAAGGTTGGCCGGCTTCAAGTTATTTAATTACCAAGTAGGAATACCAAATATTTATGCATTACCACTGTAAATGTAAAGAGAGCTTGAATCAGACACTTACATGCACTCAAAAACAGACACATGTAATCGTTATTCATCAGAGTCTGATAATGAATAAGAATAAAATCAAAATATTACTTGAAATATCTATATGGGCACTATGGCCAACTCCTCTGTGTCCTGAACCTCATTCAGCTCCTTTGTTTCCTGATTAATCCAGATCTGTGTGACCTCAGTAACCATGACGATAATGGCACGACACACCTGGATTAATCAGTTTGTCCAGTTAGAAAAAACAGGAAACAAAGGAGCTGAATTAAGTTTTGGAAGCAGTGGAGTTCGGTATATAGTCCATTCGCTATATACCAGATAAATGATAGATAATTTTTTTCTTATAATTTTTTTATTGCTTTTGATCTGACGGCACTTAAAAAGTATGACTTTGTTTTTCTAAATCCACTTCATAATTATTTTGATTAAATGTGCAAGACCGATATTCATCTTATATATTAATTCATTCCTTATCTCTAATGCTATTTCCAGACTGTTACGTTTCCTCCTTCATTTCTCAAAATAAGGTTAGTATGGCCCATCCATTCCATTTTATTTTTATTAGACCAACAGGTATATCACTAGAAATATAAGGTAAAAGGTGGCAGCAAACTATCATCTGGCGATTTACATTTCTGAAAAGAAGAATTACTTCTTTACTGCTTAGTTCCTTTTCAAAGATGACCATTTACTGTGAAAAATACCCTTATCAATTTCAGCCAGCATCTTTATCTTTGCAAAACAGAATCCGCCCCCTTCCTTGGTAGAATGACAGACGGTTTTAAGAAACATTCCAAACGCATCTTGGGCTTGAGGAAATTCAGATAAACTAGATATCTCATTACAATAAACCATGATTTAAATTAGTTCAATTAAATAAGTTGCATGGGTGGTGGATAAAAAAATGTCCACACAAGTAGAAAACCAGATCATTTAAAATAGGAAACACATCACCACATATTACAAAACAGGAAGCAACCAGAAGTAATATACAGTAGCCAAACCTTTAGAGAAGCAGTCTGACGCAAAGTTAATATCCTGGCGACACTGCATTACTCTGAGCTTAAATTTCAAACTAAAAGAGATTTCTGGACAAAATTCTTCAAGCTGTTAGATCTTGTAAGTATTCTGGTCTGATAATTCTCATTGCTCTTTTTTTTTTTGCATACAGAGTTCATATCATTAAATATGATTACCTGATGTACAATAGAAATGTTAAAGTGAAAATAAAAATTCTATATTATATTCACCGTTTTAGATGTTGACTAAATTAAGCCCAGATAAAATTAACTATTGCGTTAGTAATAGATAAATCCAAGTTAGAAAACGGCCAAAGTTCAATCAGCAACTATTTTTAATAACCCAGTAAAGGCATTTGTGAAATGAATTTCACCCAATTTATTCAGTTCTCTTAAGCAATTATCAGAACTTCTGTTTATTCAGTTTTGTAAATTTATACATCATAACACGGCAAAAATTGAAGTCCCAATGAGTCATTTTTTTCTTAAAATAAGTTAGTTCTTTTCTTGAATTGAGGAGATAAGTAAGACACTTTACCAATGGAACAAGAAAATTTACATTTAAAATAAGAAAAAATAATTGCATTCTCATACTGTTTTTTCTTATTTTAAGAACAAAAAAAACTAATTCCATTAACAAATAATCTTATTTACCTGCATGCAATTTAAGGCTAAATAAGCTTAATGTAAGAAATGTGTACTTATTTCTAGACAGTTTTTGCAGTGAAAGAGGTATGTTCTTTTTTTTGTTCAATTAATTAAGGTAGACTAAAATGTAGAAAAGAGGACTCGCTACATTTCTACAAATATTTTTACTATTGTTTCAATATATGTTGAGGCCTTGAAATTAAACTAACTTCCTTTTCAATTTATTTACGAGTACTGTGGTATGAGCTCAGATAAAAAGAGATTAAACATTTTGCAATTACAGGAGCAATTTGAATGAGCAAATATTAACTATGCCTTTAGAATCTTCACATGCTTTTAATGCAAATGACTCTCAAATCTTTTGTGTGTTGATCACCATAAAGTTAATGGCCTTTGCAGCCAGATGCACTGGTCTTGAGGTATTAAAGGCACCATTCCCTGTTTACCGTCTCCAGTATACAAATAGTGGCGCCAGCAGCTCACCGTCTCACCCCTGTTCACGACGTTAGAAACTACAGGACCAACAAAATGGTAAGTCTTATCTTTGCAAACAAAAATATGCTTGAATGTTTAAACAAGAGGCTCAACACTAAATACCACAAAGTTATTTAATCATTACTCACCTGTTTGCTTTATTTCCCCCTTTATATACCCTTCCTCTTCACTTTCTCTTCAACATCCTTATGTCTCCTGCTTTCTCTGTGAAAGGTGCTGAATGACACAGAGATAAATAAAGACTTGGAGAAATACTACTTGTCACCATCCTATGCCATCGAGTTCTGCATTGGATTCCCGAGCAACCTTGTGGTTGTGCTTGGCTACATATTTTGCCTTAAGGAGTGGCACAGCTGTCATATTTACATATTTAACCTGGCTGTCTCTGACCTTGTTTTCCTCTGCACTTTGCCACACCTCTCCTACCTTTATGCAAATGACTACCCGGTCACATCTCCCTTTATATGCATTATCAACCGCTACGTCTTGCATCTCAATCTATACTCCTCTATCCTCTTCATGGTTTGGATCAGCATGGATCGTTTTCTGCTCATCAAACATCCCATGAAAAATCATCACCTGTTGACACCAAGAGGAGCCCTAATTGTTACAGGGTTGACCTGGCTGGCTGTTAATGTGGAAGTTTGTCCGTTAATAGCCCTGATTGTTAAAGACTTGCAGAGAGAAAATTTGAGCAGATGCTTGGATTTCTCCAGCCTTGAAGGAGATTTTAATACACTGGGCTACAGCTTAGGCCTAACCATAACAGGCTACATCCTCCCTCTGCTCGCACTTTGTGTCTTTTCACAGAAAGTTTCACATCTGCTCCACATGCAGGAACGAGCTGTGCAGAACAGGACATCCTACAAGAGGCCACTTAGAGTTGTTATATCAGCCACTGTTATGTTCTTTGTCCTCTATACCCCTTACCATGTGCTGAGAAATGTCAGAATTGCATCTCTGCAACAATGGGCTGGATATCACAGTAAAACAATAGGTATTATAAAAGCAACCTACATCTTAGCTCGACCGTTTGCATTTTTGCACAGTGTTATTAACCCAGTCTTCTACTTTCTTCTCGGAGACAAGTTCAGAGAGCTTCTAATCTCTAAAATCAGAGAAATAACCAGAAAGCCAGACCTGAGAAGAGAGCCAGCCTGAACATTTTAAATATAGGAGTTTTGCTTTGTAGTACGACATGCTTTTCAAGTTAGCAAATGCTGAATTTTTTATTTTCTTAAAACTTTTAATTTAACAGATACAGTACTACTTTCTTAGTTACAAAAATGATGCTAGCTTTGAATATATTTACTTTTTTTTTTTAAGTTTAAAGCTTACTGTAGGTGTTTTATAACAACTTACGTTGTTTCCTGTTATCCGATTACACAATAGTCCTGTATTTTTGTAAATAAAGTTTTATGATTTTTAAGAAAAACAGTTGTACACTGTTAGATAGGATATCCCATTATCAATCAAATTCTACAGCTAACATAAAGTTATAACCATTGTCATTTTACAAACATTGGATTGGTAAAAAAAAAAAAAAAAAAAAAAAAGGGATATTGTTAACTTTTGAGATAAGATGTATTTTTGTATTATTTATATCTCTGCAAATAAAAGAAAAAAAAAAGTATGACACCAGTGTCACGGAAATATTAAATATTGAAGTGGAAATTGTGATGTTGATTTCATTACCACGCTACTGGGGTGACACAATGTCTGAAAATATGCAGTGTCAAATTAAAATAAGCTGATTAAGGACTACACATTTTTTTTTTGCTTTCAAGAATTTAAGTTTTTTTATCTTAGCAGTGGTGTAAAAAAGTACGTATCAACTTACTGCAGCTTAGTGGGGTGCTGCGCAAGCAGGGGTACAAAAGTAATGGTGGAACCATCATTTCTAGTCAGGCATTTCTGTATCTTACTGCTGTAATTTGCATGCACTGTAATATGATTATCAACATAGACACATCACTGAATACCTTTTGCTTCTGCTCCTTCACTTCCCCTCTGGTTTCCCCATTTCCTTCCCATACTTACACAGTATGCACTTCTCCAGAAATGAAGCATCTCTCAAGGGTGTTAAAAACCCACTTGATCGCCGGCGACCATTTTTATAGCATTTACAACTCATAACTCAAAATGCATGAAAATTACAATGGTAACATTTTTCACAAATATAGACAATGTTACGATCAGCTTAGATTCTCTACAATTCAACCACCAAGGTAATTTTAAAGAACAATTAACACAGATATAGCAGCATGTCAAAATGTAAACATTACAAACCAACAACATATCTTTGAAGGCGTTCAGAAGCCTTTTTTATAAATCCAATCTTTAATTGTTTATATTCCATTCATCCATAAGGGTCCACAGATTAAAAGTAATCCAAAATATTCATAGTAATAATATTCCGTGATGAGAAAACCGTCACATAACATCCGGGCTTTGACATAAGAAAAGTTAGCTGGTCATAACTAATGTTTAGCATCTTGCTAATAAGATTAACTTCCTCATTTGTTTGTCCACGATGTTTGGTATTTTTCTTTACATCATCTTCTTACCTACAAGACAAAAGTGTCCACATCTTTGTGACTCGATTTAAGTCAGGGACAGCAATTGAAGTCTCACGAGCGCTCCTTGCCTGTCAGCCAATGATGCACTGTGTAGAGCGATATTACGCCTTATAGAGGTCTGCTGCTATTGGTTAAGACCACGTGGGCTGTTTATATTTGTAGCCAGTGAAATAAGGTTTCAAACAAGGGAATACATGACTGGGTTGCATAAAGCAGAGCCGTGTTACTGGCTTGCATAAGAGTGATGGCCGTTACCACTGAGCCTGGTCTCTTGGAGGTTCCTTCCTGTTAAAAGGGAGTTTTTCATCCCCACTGTCGCAACAAGCATGCTTAGTGAGAGATTGCATTTGAGTCAACGATTCATGCAATCAACTGGTTTTTCTTAGATAGAAAGCTTTGAATCAATTGACTGTATGATCTGGTGAACTGTAAATTGCCTTGAGATAACATGTTTTGAATTGGTGCTATATAAAAAAGCTGAATTTAATTAAATGGAATTGAACTGATGCAGTTTCAGTTGTGTTTTACTCACCCAATTTTCATTTATATTTATATAAATTTATATATACACATGTAATTTGGGCTTACAGTTCCTCAGTTTTTTTGCTATTCCATTTGGGTATGCAAAATAGTCGAGGATTACTTCAAATGAGGTGGGTGTTAAGAAAACAGATGAGTGAGAAGAATTAATTAAGACATTTTAGAGGTAAAGGTTTTTTGAGTGATTTAAAAAATAAGTCTTTTTTTATCAATGAACAATGAGAATAGTTATCATATTGGTGGTAATGGATTCCGGTTACACCATCAGAGGTGACTAAGACTTTGCCAAAACAATTTCTGCAACCTCTTTGGGTCACCTCTCCTTGATCTGACTAGTGATAACATGTTTTGCCACATGTTGTTGTTTAACTGGTTTTCTAGGGAGTGTGCTGCAAAAAATATGGGCTATGATGATAATTAGTAGACTTTTTTAGGAAAAACCTGGTCTTGTTCAGAGAAAGACAGCATCCATCCCACTTCAGATGGTGAAGCTCTTCCATCTAGGAATATGGCAAAATGTATTAGTCTTCCAAAACACTGAAAGCCCAAGGTGCGGACCATTAATCACAGTAGAGTAGTAGTTTTACAGAACTCTCCAGTTCTTGGACCTTCCGCCATAACATCTAGGGGAGGTTTGATAAGGGGGAGGCAGAATCTAAAATAACACTTATTTATTTGAGAGCAGGCTGCACAGGTATTTTGCATTAGCCTTCGAGTCTTTTCTTGCTGGCTCCACATGGCGAATACAATATTCCAAATTTGTTGGGCTTTTCCGCCTTGAAGCGATTGTCCACATCCAAGATATTATCCCGTCTCACCTTTGACTTCACCACCACAGCCAGCTTGCGTTCAATCACACCCCGCATACAGCTCAGCTCATGGTCCTGATCATTCACAGCCTTTGTTAGCATTGTCAACCACTGCTGGCAGCCTGATCAATGCCCAAATTGCCGACATACTCTGTAATTGTAGACACATCAGGTATCCTTCAAATCCAAACAGGAGAAATCTGAGGATCATAAATACGAAAATTCATAAATCTTTGATATCCTCCACCGACAACATTGTAAAACACACCATCCGTCCAGGAATCCATTAAGTATCCCACGAAGTATGTCCCGGCAGGACAGGAAGGGTCCCCTTTTCCCTGTCTTCCAGTTGAAAAATTTTGATCAATTGCATTGAGAGACCAGCTGAGCAGATCCACTGTTTGAATTCGGGTGATATGAAGAGAGCTAAAAAAAAAGAGGCTGATAAAAGAAAATACAGAGCAAAACAGGGACAGAGCAGGGAGTTGCAGAGCAGCAGGAAATGTGATTGCCTCCTTTAAGAGTCAGAACAGTTTTCAAGACCATCCTCCAGAGGTCAACTGGGATCACGGTTGGTTGGGTTTCTCTGTTAATTGCCTGCACCTGTTCCTCATCAGCTCCAGACTAGTTTTGACTAACCTTACCTGGTTTCCCTTTTTGTTTGATTCAGGATCTAGATGCTCCTTTGGATAGTTTCTGAGCAAACCTTAGTGATGTCAATTTGGAAGCCCTGTGAACCAGTGAACCAATTTGACACACTATTGGCCAAAACTAGACCCCATGCTTGACACAATTGATACAGTTTAGAATGGTGGCATCTGCTGGATGCTATCAGAACTACAACTGAACTTGCTTGTTCCACAATAATAGTATTGATTGTGATTATATTAATAAACAATAAAAACAATTAAAAAAAATGGCCTTCCTATGAAATTGCAATATGATAAATAGCTCTTCTGACGCATAGCAGATATGCGACTGTGTGGTCCTATCAACATGGCTCAGAATCCATCCTGGTTACCAGGCTATGTATACATTTGTTTCGAGTTGAAATCCCACACAGTCCTGCCTGCCATTCTACTTTAAGAAATTCTAGGAACCACTAGTAAACCTGCAGATTGAGAGCGAAGTGCTCTGTTAGGAACATAAGAACAATCAGATCTCTGATATAAGATGGAGCTTGGCCATCTTATATGTGAGAAGAAGGATTTTAAATTCTACTTTTGATATAGCAGGGAGCCGATAAAGAGAAGCTAGGATAGGAGAGATATGATCTCTCTTTTTAATTTTTTAATCAAAACTCTGGCTGCAGCATTTTTGGATCAGCTGAAGGTTATTAACTACAGTTTATGGACTTTCTGACAGTAAAGATTTACAATAGTGCAGCCTTGAAGTAACAAATGCATGGATTAGTTTCTTAGCATCACCCCTGGACAGAATATCTGTAATTTTTGCAATATTCCACAAATAAAGGAAGGAGAATATAAAAACTTCTTTGTTGTGGGATTTAAATGACGGGTGATCTTAATTAACATCCCGATTTTTTACTTTATTATCTGAGATCAGTTTAATCCCATCCGAAAGAAGTGACTGACTAATCAGCTTCTTTTTCAAAGACTCTGGTCCAAAGACTATAAGTTCTGTTTTGTCTGCATTCCGGAGCAGTAAGTGTCATCCATGTTTTTATATCTTCAAGACATGCCTGTTATCTATTCAATGGGTTAGCTT